ACATAGGTGCTAAAGCAGTGATGGGCATTTCCTCCCAATCGTGCGGGGATATTTACCTGCGCCTCGTTGTCATCATACTGCTGAGCTCGGAGCGTGGCCAGCTATGCTCCAGCGAGATGATGTGCAGGATCGAATAGATAAAGATCGGGTGGCGTCATGGGAGCCCGTGCTCGTGGTGGAGGTTGATTAGGATGCTGTTGTGGATTCCGAGTCGGATTCTGTTGGGGGTTCTGTTAATTAGCGTTCATGTTGACCGCCCGTCGAGCCGCAGACCGCCTTCTGGTGACGACGGGATCGCGTCGATGCGCGTTCCGTGGTCGAGGTCGTCCTCTGTTAGCCAGATCGCCCAGCTAAGAATCCTAGAACCCTGCCACATGTCGGGCTCCAATACCAACCTCACGCCTGGCGCGACTTCCTGATCGGAGTGGGATGTGGGTCTGAAAGTGCGAAAAGTGGTGTGCCAAGGATTTTTGGGGAAAGTAGGGGTGGAGTCCCAGGTCAGAACTGAGATCTCCTGTGGCAAGGGTCCAGGGGCATAGATGCAATAGAGCTAAGGGACGGGTTACTTCCGGTCTGATGGCGGTCGATGTCGTGCAGTCGTAAGGCAGATGGCATGCAAGGTGCATCAAGGGTCGTCCGATCCGTCTGTTTTGGTGACGGGGGTTCAGGAGAGGCCCGTTTGTGAGGGTTGCGATTCCTATGAGTTGGACCTTCGGGTGCAGACACGTGGCGTCTGTCGCCGCGTGTTATGGTTAGGCTTCGTAGTTCCCGGGGTTCGGCGGTGGCCGCGTCGTCTGAAGTTTCTGCACGGTGTGCGGGGCCAATATGGGGCGATGGAATTCCACGGTACCACCGTGAGCTGGTGATACGGGAGGAGGAGGCGGACGGGAGGGAAATTGGTAGTGACTACGACAAAGCCGGGGGATATGAAGTATTGCGTGTTATACGTAGTTGGGTAATCGGGGCACCCTGAATCGATGGTTACGACACAACGAAACTCCCTGGGGCACAATCGGTTATCGGTTTGGCAGGGAAATTCTGGGCGTCTCTGCCTAAGATCTTCTCTTACCCAAGGTTCGAAGTACCCTGTGTCCCATGTGTACGTCATCTTGTCATTGCGGCGTAGTGGGAGCCTTTCGCACGCGTCTAACTGACAAGGGATTTTTTTCGATATGGTATCAGAAATTCCTACCAGCTTAGGTGCGTGAAGGAAGGAGAATTCCCCGCTTATCCGATACTGGAGGTGCCAGGTTCGTCAATGATCGAGAATCGCCGCGCGTAGACACGTGTAGGCCGCGCAATTTAGATCGTGCTTACACGTATCTACGCGAGGCGTCGCTTCCACCCGGGCCCGTTGGCTGATGCTCGCGCCAAAGTGAGAATGTAATCCCTCATGCACTTAGTGGTCCCGCAAGCAGTCCTTTCTGAGTATGCAAGGTGTCATCACACATCAGACATCGCAACGACATCAGAACTCGTATCATAACAACAGCGGATCAAATGACAAGCAATTATAATAACTGGCCAAAAACGACAAACATGTCATTCCATCCGAACAGTTCATCCCATAGTAGACAAAAAAAAAAGGAGGACTGAGACAGAATGAGACATCACACAAGGACCAAAAATGAAACAAGGATGCCGACGGGAAACGAGAGCGAATCGCTCTAGCCGAAATCAAAACTTATATACAAAGCAAAAGAGAAAGAAAAGACAAAGAAAATTGCAAATCCTCGTCCATCAACCTCAGTCCTCTCTTCCTCTCTCTCGTTCTCCGATGCGGACAGTCTGTCGTCACGCACCAATCCACAAAGTCATCACCCCGCTTAGTCCTCCTGAACCCGTCAGGTTCGTCCGCGCGCTACAGTTCGTCGTAGCCCCACACGTCAACCCCTCGCATTCGGCACCAGCCCGTGGGGGCACCCGACTCCCACTTCAACTCACCTCTTTCTTCGCTCGTGAGCCGAGCCTCACTGATCGCGCTACCCCAAGCTTCCAACAACTGGTTAAGAGAGCTTCCTAATCGCGCAACCAAAATTTATAGCGTGCATGCGAGCTCGAAGAACACGGAATTGCAAGGACTTAGAAAGGAGATTAGGAGAGGGAGCGCCTACGTTCTGCATGACCTTATTTCAAACAAGAGACTTTGAATGCTTTTGAATCTACGGTGTTAATTCTACTCTCTACTTGTAGTATGTTTTTCATGATCTCATCTTATGATTTGATTGCCATGTATTTAGCCATCTAACTCCAACGAACTGCAGCAAGACATGCTGGACACGAAAGCAAGACGCAAAGAAGTGGGCGTTCGGTCTCCTTCCTGTATTTATTATGGAGTAAATCAACCAAAGGCAGCGTTGCTGAAATGCGCTTACCGCGGCGTGGGGGACGTAGCCACTGTCCACGCATCGATCCGAGCATGCAGGTCGCGGGTTAACTAGGCACAGCAAAGGGAAAGAGAGAGCGGGAAAGACGAAGCTCAAGAAGAAAGATACAGTTATAATGGCGCCCGACCAAAATTACAGTTATTTGCAAGATTAAGGGCGCCGACTAATCAGAGCTCCGTTGCAGACGCAAAAAGAAGCGCGCAAGCAGAAGGCGTTGCGCGACAAAAGGAAATCCTAAATTCCTAAAATTCCTATCTAATGCGAAAATGCAAAAAAGTAAAAATTTCGGAAAGAAAGTGCGAAGTTCCGAGAGCCGTCAAGGCTCGACAAGATTCGAAAGGAATTTAAAAGAAAATTCGAAAAGAACAAGGCAAAATTCCCGCGCGATCTCCGCGCCTAAAACCCGACAGCCAGAACAGAAAGAGACGATGTCAACCATTATTACTTGCATGCACATCGGCGCGCCACTCAACCGATCATCGCAGGACTTGCCCGGCCCTGAACCCAGCCATCCGAAACGAAGCGACGCAAAAAGACGAAGAGGCGAGGACACCGACGCAATTTCCCCTCAGTGCCAATATCCTGTAATTGGCCCATCCTTCCCATCTTAGGACCCCTCAGAAATTGGTCCGTCACATCAGTTCTTGTCCCCGCCCTCGATCTTGCCCTACGCTGATTTGACGGTGCTGCCTTGGTCGGCTGCCCACGCCACGTGGCGGCCCCAGCTTAAGTGCCGCCGGTGTCGGCAGGGAGATTCTTGTTTCTGGTGGAGGCTGGTGCTGGGGTACGAAGGTTCGGCGAGGCTCCCAGAACTCTCCTGCAGTGCGGGAGCCCTACCGGCGAGCTTCTCAACCTGGGTTCCCCCAGCCTCGCCCCAATCAGACAATGAAGCCCCTAGTCGATCTCGAGGACTTGATGCATCGGATGCGGAGACCTGAGAGCTACCTATCTTTTGGGTTCTTGCAATAAAGTTGGCGTGAACCTGGGTAAATTCGAAGCTTCCCTTGTCCTTTTTCCTTATTGTTATCCGTTCTTTTTCCGGCCAATGGCTGAGTCACGCCTTGCTCCCTAGCCCCTGGCGGGGCGGAATTTTGTTCATACCGTAACACCACACGTCGACCCTATTTGCCCTTAGGTCCTCTTGTTTCCTCTTTTTAGCTACCTCTGTCGTCTGGGCGATCCAACGTTTGCCCGAAATCCTCGGCCACGCCCGCAACTACTCTGATCGACGTCCCTCGGTACGAAGCGTCGCAGGGGGTGTGAGGTCGGGCATCACAGGCGTGCCCCTCTGACAGCCGACTTACCCTGCGCGCCCATCTGACAACGATAGAAGTTTCCTGAAAAACCCTTGCGTCGTTTGGGCCTGAAATATGTTCAATCTTCCCAGTTCCAAATTTCCAGTATGCCCTTACCGGATAGCTGCTGGGTACCAGCAGAGAGTAATTCCATATGTCCCTACCGGTACCATGAGTCTTTTCAGCATGGCCCTTGGCCATTGGTGGCACTTGCGACCGTTCCCCTGACCCTGGGAGGGGAGCTACCAGAGTGGCAGGACAAGGAGCACCATGAGGAGGGAGAAGACAAGCAGCCTGGGACTTCGCATTGCACATCCCTCTTCGCCATAGCTCATCAGTTTTGAGAAATGAGTTAGGTTTATTGTCATCAACAAACTCGCATCAGGATGAGGCAAAATAATATAATGACAGAGGGGGAGAGAGAGAGAGAGAAAGACAGACAGACAGACAGAGAAGAGGAAGATTGGCAGAGGAGGAACGCAAGGAGGAGGAAATATGGCCTTCTATGAGCATGAAACTTCGGCTAGAACATGGGAGGATGCACGGCCATATGGCCTCCTCCTCTCATTCCTCCTCCTGAAAGTGTGTGTGTGTGTGTGTGTGTGTGTGTGTGTGTGTGTGTGTGTGAGAGAGAGAGAGAGAGAGAGAGAGAGAGAGAGAGAGAGAGAGAGAGAGAGAGAGAGAGAGAGTGTGTGTGTGTGTGTGTGTGTGTGTGTGTGTGAGAGAGAGAGAGAGAGAGAGAGAGAGAGAGAGAGAGAGGGAAGTACGAAGTCAAGCACACACGAAAGGAGGACAGGCTGAGGGACATGGAAGAGGTAGAGCAACACTGGCCTTCACGAAGCAAATGAAGGAGCTCCAAGGTGGGGGGTTGCAGCAGACTAACTCTGACGGGGTGGATTGAAGGGCGTCTCAGAAAGATGCATGCTCCTCAGGAGGGCATACAGAGGAGGAACCAGAGGAAATTGGACCGGTGGTCCAGTAAGGGCATCGCAGAAAGTTGTGCTTCACTGACAGGGGCCTGCAGGAAAGTTCCGAGGTCCAAGCGGCCTCCGAGGGAGGGGTATGCCGCAAATGAATAGAACATTCAGGGCCATATCAAAAACTTTTCCTTCCTTTTTTTTTCAAGGTCGTCTCTTTCACATTGGTTGGTGGCGCGGCGAGGCCCCTTTTTTTTTTTGTTTTTTTTGTTTTTGTTTTTTTTTGTTTTTCAATCCAGCGCGGCGAGGCCCCCGAGCTCACCTGAACTCACCTGAACTCACCTGAACTCACCGATTCGCCCCTCTAAAGTGAGCGGCATTGGCCTTTTAGAACGGTGTGGCGACGCCCATACCATACCGTCAGGCATCAATTGTTGAAATACAGACCTGAGCTAGAATCCAGGACTGAACTACATAGATGAACAGATTTCCTGCCTTGCCCGGGGCCGGTCAGTTTTACGAACGATGATCTCTCGTTGCTGACGTGGCGAGGGCCCCATAGGCAGGCACTGATGGAGAAAGAAGAATCTTGTTGCTGACGTGGCAGGTCAGTTTGATTGATATCACGAGGCCCATAGCCAGGCACTGATGGAGAAAGAAGAATGTTGTTGCTGACTTGTCGCTGACGTGGCGCTGACGTGGCGCTGAGGTGTCGTACAGATCACGGTGTGGGGAGGGGCGACGATCGAAAGATGAGGTAAGGGATACACAAAGATCTTGAGGGCGCCGCGCACGCACAGACAGACTCACAGAGAGCGAGCGAGCGAGCGAGAGCGAGAGAGAGAGAGAGAGAGAGAGAGAGAGAGAGAGAGAGAGAGAGAGAGAGAGAGAGAGAGAGAGAGGAATGTACATGAAGCTCATTACTCAGGTATTGATAATTGATTGTACTGTATATACCGCGTAAATCCGAAGCAATGGAGGAGAAATGCCACGACGACAGGGTCTGGTGATGATGAAACAATGAAAAGGACAAGAAGAAGAAGAAGAAGAAGAAGAAGAAGAAGAAGAAGAAGAATTGTGAGGCCAATCGCCACGTGTCCATGCATACAACATAATGTCAAAATATTCACACCTGCACAGACATAGCTAATGTGCTCTAAACGTGCATAGAAGAAGAAGAAGAAGAAGAAGAAGAAGAAGAAGAAGAAGAAGACAGTGTGAAAAACGGTGGCCATAGACTGCTGCTCGTACACGCAACAATAGAAATTAAGAAGAAGAAGGAAGAAGAAGAAGAGGAGGAAGAAGAAGAAGAAATAAAAGAAGAATAAGAGGAGGGAAGAAGAAGAAAGACTAAGAAGAGGGAAGAAGCAGAAAGAACAAGAATTAAAAGAAGACGACGACGAAGAAGAAGAAGCAGGAGAATAATAATAAGAAGAAGAACTAAGAGAAGAAGAAGAAGAAGAAGAAGAAGAAGAAGAAGAGATCGAGCAGGAGGAGGAGGAGGAGGAGGAGGAGGAAGAGGAGGAGGAAGAGGAGGAGGAGGAGGAGGAGGAGGAGGGGCTCTAGATCAATGGTGAAACGAATAAGAGGGGGGAAATGGTTGCTACGTGCCGGGATGTTTGAATGGTATTTACCATTTTCTTGATCCAACGGTGGGGGGACGACGGAGAGAGACAGGCGATGGTTGATCCAACGGCGATGTTGAAATCCTGCCAAATCTTTTGCCATATGGAGAAGGAATGACGTGAGGCTATCGCCGCGGCCCGCGGGTATAAAACGAGCTGCCACCTGTCGTTGCCTGCACTGTGTTTTTTACCATCCTCCCGCCATTTTTCATGGTGCTCTGATAGGATCTGATAATTAATTAATTAATTAATTGATTGATTGATTGATTGATTGATTGATTGATTGAT